TCTGCCAATACAAATATCTTAATGCATTGGCTGATCCGAAGTTTCAATCTTCATCTATAAAACACAGTATTACTTACGCGATATTTTATACCCATCTCTATCGGGAATGAGTGATCAGGTGGCGCCAAGCTAGAAATCGAGCTTTCTGCTGTCGTGGATCGAGCAAGTACGTCGCATAGTATGCAAGTCCAATGGCGTCAAGCATGATGCATCTTTCTAGACATCTGCTAATTATCATACCAAAGGCTTCCGATTTAGCAGATATGCACTACCTATAACATTCATAATAAAAAAAAAACAAAGGATATCGTGTATGGTTATATAAGAGTAAATACGTACACAGATTTGCGCCGAACACCACACCATGGTTGATGGTCGAGATGAGAAATGATTAAATAGTCAAGGCAGTACACGTCTCAAAGATCTTTTCGGGACTCATCACCGCTGGATGGTGTCCCAGGGCCTGAGCTGGCCATATCCCAGCTTCCATCTTCACTTCGACGCCGACGACGTTCTCCGCGCTCCCTCATGGCATCACGGATCCGTGAACTGACATCCTCGAGCGGGTCTTTCGGGGTGAGAGTGCTGAGCGGCTTCAGCCCGTGCCGAGACCCAGGTCGGGCGCTAGAAGATCGGCTGCGGCTACGATTACGACTAGGAGGTCGTGTGGAGAAGAAGCCAATGTTGGCCAGGTTGTGGAAGGATTCGTTGCGGGGGAGGGGCTCTGACGAGGGCATTTTCTCGCCATGTTCTGGCACGCTGGTTCTTCTGATCGCCGGTAGTCCGTTGTCCGCCTTGGTACCGGTGTCGCCCGCATCTCGGAATGGATCTGTGACAATCCGAGCGGCATCAAAGTCGGGGAATAGCTCAGGTCCCATGGTATTGATCGCGTCTGTCACTTGCTGAGCCAGTGCAACGCGTCTCGCTCGAAGTTTCACCAGCGTGTTGGCCGACGATGGGTTCAGAGATAGAACAAGCGGGCGAAGTGATTTGATGATGTCCATGCCCACTTCACCGATCCGAAGAGCCGCAAACGTGACTGTGGGGAAGAGTACCATGCCGATCACCACTATCGACCAAAGTGGCACCCAATCTGGAACAATTCCATTGACTCGGTTCCAGTACGTCCAATAAGTGAGGGCAGCAGTGTAAAAGGCATAGAGCGCCGGAGCAAATGCAAGGGCAATAAGAAGCTTCCATGTGGCCATGACATCTCGGCCTTGAAGTTTCACTGTAGAAGCAGCCAGTGCTTCCCTGGACTTCTTTGCAGAAATGTACTTAGTCGCGATGAAAACCGGGGTAAATAGCAGGAAACCGGGGAGCGTCCCGATTGTCAAGAGCGCTAATTTGCCTAGGCGATAAATCAACGTGGCCACCACCTGCAAAATGGTGAACTTGGCGTAGGCCACTTGATGATCCCGAATTCCAAGAAGACGAAGCTGTTTGTTATATCCTACAATAGACTTGCGTAGGGCGACAATCCGGGGATCGTCTTTGAAGTGGGCGTAACCTTTGACAAGACGGCGGTTCAGCTCCACAACCATAGGAAGAGGAAGATTTTTTCCTTTGGTGTTGTACAGACGACGGGCAGCTTGGATGACCTTTGAATTGTTAGCGGAAGCAACTTTCCTGAGATAGAAAGAAACTTACCATAAGAGTGTCATAATCGGGACTAATGACAGTGACCGAGACGAGACTTCCGTAGATGATTTCCAGTAAAGCACCGACAGACTCTCGTCGTTCACCTTGCTTGAACTGCTCCACCAACTCCGAGGGGATCTCAATTGGATTACCAAACTCAATAACGGCCCTGGAACGGAACTTGTGGGCATGGAAATAGTTCATGCCACAAGGCACAATCTTCAGACCACAGTCCGGGTTTTCAGCCAGGGTGCCTAGAGCCATCAGGGCGACACCAGCTGTATCATGTCAGTAAATCTGCTGTACCTCTTGAATACGAAGAGCTTACCTTTCAAGGGAAGCAGTGTAGTGCGATCATGGCTTCCACCTTCCGGGAAGATACCGACACAGCCGCCTGCGCCTAGCCTTTTGAATACTGCCTGGTAGACTGCGGTCTGATCCACATGCGGAGCGACTTTGAATTTGGTACCCTTGAAATCTGGATCCTGCGCGGATGCATCGCCAGTGAAATTCCCATCACGGTCAATGTCTTGCCGTCCAGTAAGCTGGGTTAGCGCATCCTTGCTGGTGAAAGCCTTCTTGAGTATCAATTCCTCTGGTCCCTTGATCTCGGCGATCGCAGTGCTGTATGATGTTCCGTTGATGGTGGGTAGGGCAATAGTTCCGTCCTTTTGGAAGCCTTTCCCTTCAAAGTTGGTTCCCACACCTCGTAGCAGAGTTGGCTGGTTGACCGGGTCGGGAAGATAGATGGTGCCGGTCCCGGGTTTCAAGTTGTCCATAGCACGTGCCACAGGCAGTGTTCCAACTGCTCTCGCCAGAAACCCGATAAATTTCCGTTTGAAAGACTTTTCTGCGATAAGCCATGAGATCCGACGGTGCGCTTCGCTGCGAATGACGCGCATCAATACCAAAGAATCCACGAACTGGGCGAACATCCATTAGTATCTTGTGTGTATGACCGGAAGCGAGCGGCATACCTGGTTCGCATGGGGAGCTGCCACCAGAATGATGGGACCGCGGCGGGGGATCTTCCATGAGCCTCGAGGGTGGACTTCGCGGAAGAAGAGGTCGATGAGCACGGAGAATGACCATAGGACCAAGTCATACATCCACCCAACGAGGGGTGGGATGTACTGGCCCTTTTCTCCCATTGTGCCGTAGAAGCCCGATGGGCAATTTTTCGGAGGAAAGAAGGCTCGAGGGTCGTCGAGGGATCGTCAAAGAATCGTGAAAGAATCGGGAAAGGGTTATGATCTCGACATGAAGTCCCTAGCGAAGAGATGAATATGAGTACGGCTAACCGGAAGAGCTTGCCCAGGTGGGGATCCACCTACTTGGCTGTTTCAAGCCTCAGATCAGCACGAACTATCCAATATATCCGATAGACAGGGTATCAGCATGAAATCAAGGGAGAAACACAAGAAGAGGGGAAAAGCTGAAATGCGAAACTGAAAGGTTTGAGTCTTAGCGCGCGCTTTGACTCGGACGCTTCTAGAACGTGACATGTTGGAACAAGGCAAGTTCAATGTTACGATTGAACTTCGACTTTGAATTCATTATTCTCTTGATCTCTCTCTGTGTAAATTCCAAATTTTACATGATACATAAGTTGATATGATCAGTCACACCAGAAAAGCTCTTGACTATGTTGTACATAGTTAGCCCCTTCTAGGTGAGCACAGGCCCGATCTTGCATCATTTGCGACATTAGATAAGATCCCCAGTATGAGATCATTCCGACTTTCCAACAAACATCTCAACACATACATATACCTGGTACACCGGATTTAGGCCGCGCAAGTTAGATTTCCGTTTCCACTTGAGTGCTCACCCCTTGCCGCTTTTTTGGTCGAGTAAACCTCCGAGTATTATGTTATCATTACCTTTCCTTCTCCATCTTAGTTTTTTTTTTTTTTGTTTTTTGATTGCTTCATCGATAGACCTAGCATGTCACAAGAAGACCCCAATTGAATGGTTTACAAATCCAGTTTAGTGTTTTAATGAGATCTCACTCCTTGCTGTCTGCTGCTTGTTCCTAGGAATAATGAATGCTAAGAGTCAATGTATATACAAAAGAAACACTCATCTCTCCTCCTAGGGTGGAAGTATCTAAGGTTCACGCATTTCTCCTCAAGGTTATCACGATCTACGATAGATCGCTATCAGATACTTCATATTTATTTGCTCGCTCGTTTGCTCGCTCGCTTAGCATCGTTTACTTCATTAGTGCAGTGGGGGTTTCCAGAGCAGGATGACTAAGCGGCTATGTGACATAAAAGCACTCCCGAGGCCTAGATAGCAACGCAGACACCTTTCCACCTCTCTTCTCAGTAGTCACCCCATGGTGTTCTCCTCTCTAGCACCCTACTACTCCCAGTGACGACTCTGCTCTCACACCTGTTTCGCAGGCAGGGCTGTCGGTGCCCCTCAGGGGTCCCCTCTTCATTAGATAAATTGTTTGCTAGATAGCTAAGCGAGAAGGTTCGAGGTTTGCAACGTTTGCAAAGTGATCAGCTATATCAACTGCCTGCTTCCCACTTTGCAACTTGCTTCTTCATCCTCTCCATCTTCGTTATTTAGTTGAATGTACCCTTTCTTGTTCAAGATCGATCTGGCGCCTCACAAAGGTCTCATGAAGTTTGCTCATAAGTTTACCAAACACAACCCCTCAGCCAGAGTAAAAGCCTAACATGATACGGAGTACTTGTATACAGATTGTCTGATATCGCAAAGAAAATTGACAACCTGGTCGATTTCGGTGGACATATTTCACACCCGGTGAGCGTTGCAAGGCCTTTTCCTACATATGCTTGAGCTTTGGGTTCATTCTTATTCGAGAGCGTGGGAATTCGCAGGGCTCTTACAGCTAAGAATTCAGTAAATCCACTAATAACCGAGAGAGAACAGATCCTTACTCGATTCCCAAGTATAGTATAGTACATCGTGTCAAGCCCACTTTTACTTGCACATGCTCTTTTTGTCCTTCGCCTAGACGCAAATATCAAGCCAGGTGTAGTGTGCTTCCCTCGATCAAGCTTGATACATGGTACCAGTTCTTCTAGATCAATTCCCAGACCCCGACATATACCAATGACTGTGAGATAGCTGAGCTTTTCTTTCAAACATGGTCTAGACTGATATTTGTCTATGATACAATACTGGTTCAGAACCCAAAATTCAAGTTGTGACATGACTTCCCGGAGATCTCGTGATCGTCGGATGAATAATAATCCGCAAATTATTCTGGCCAAGTGGTTTTTCAAGTTGAGAGTCATCCCTTCCTTTAAACGATAATGATACAGCAGCGTACTCCTCCTCGCCTTCACGTTTAACAGAAAGAATAAATTGTATGCCAGACAATGGACGATTACCAGACACTCGTCGTGGCTCAATTCTTCGAGCCACTGCCAAACATCTCTCAGATATCGTGTCACCAGTTTGTCCTGCACCATGTTACCCCGGTCCTTTTTCCCAACGCTACCGGTAAGGTAGACGTTCAACCCAGCCCTTTCCAGGGAAGCATGAGCTATACCGCTATATTATATGTTCACTCCACCCACGCCGATCATCGCATTGTTGTCCAGTTCCGAAGCGATAAGCAAGACCTCTTTGGAGTTACTGAAGCTAGCCGCATTCATGGACCCATTGTACCCTTGGTAACATACCAGGGCATATACGAAGGGTTATTCGTATATACATCCCCTTTTACAGAAGGGATACCGTATATCAGTGTCTTGATGTCTTCTCAGGGCTTTGAACTACCGCTCCAGAAGAAGATAGCGACTATCACGGACCTTGCAGACCTTATGACTCGGGGAGCTAGAGCGAATACCACTACATCCGACCTTACTTCTACTCTTGATAAAATCCGTCATAAGGTTGATAACTATACTTTTCGAAATACAACTCTCAGAAACAGCATTTCTACTTGTATTAGCAAACTCCTGCCACACCTACACGATCTCGCCGCTCTTCCCGTCACCCTTACCCACCAGGACCTCACCCCATTCAATTACCTTATCGACGACTCCACGGGCCGAGTTCAAGCTGTACTAGACTGGGATGGTGCTGTATACCTCCCAGTTGGGTCAAATTTCTATTTCATGGATAGTCTTCTCGGGTTTATGACCCCAAGTGGTTGGCAAGATAACGGGGATCGTCAGGAACTAGAGGGAGCGTTTTACGATCGGGTTCTGGCTAGTCTTGCTACCCAGGGACTTAGGGGAATAACAAAAGAGCAACTGGAGTTGCAGAAGGCAATCGGGGTATTACAATACGGCGTGGAGCGGCTTCTCAAGTTCAAAGACCAACGAGCCGAGCACTATCTAGAGGGGTATCTTCGCGGTTTATCTTTCATGGACGGGTTCATGTTATCGTATTAGCTGTATATAGACGGACCCTTGGTATATGGGAGTCAAGACTATGTATATTCGAAAGGATATTAAGAGCCATGCCGGCTTCCGAGGAAATAGGAAAATAATAAGGAAAGATTGCCCCAGACCTAGCACAATATCAATTTATTGGATTCTCGGTATGGTAGGGCATGTGTTCAATTTCTGATTCTGCAGATATAGCTAAACGAATACACGAAGTGGCATCCTGACAAAAGAATGAACTTCAAGAAGAGGGAGAGAATGTTGCTAAGGATTTGAGAGAATGTTGCTAAGGATTTGCAAAACTAAGATTCTTCTCCAGCAACATCCAACCGCGGTATAACCTTGACTTCATGCTCCGTATAGGGCTTCGTGTCCGTAAACACTTTGTGATTGCCAGTATTCATGGGGGAACAGACGTTATTTCCCTTACACTCGATAACCCCATGCTCATTGACATGGAAGCTCCATCCAGTAATGACAGGTTCAGTCGTCTGAATCTCTTGTTCGGAGATAAGGCGAAGAGGGACACTGATAGTGCCGCGTCCACTAGGATGTGTGAACTCAATGAAGTCTTCTCTGTCTGCAGGGTTCGGGATTATTGAGATCCGTTTCTCTAGGCTGTGAGCTTTGAGAAAGCCGGCAAGTTCTGAAGCGAAAGCTGTGTCGATCTAAGTTACCTCGCCGCTGGCATCGTACTCGAATGCCTAGAACAGGCCAGCTTGGTTAAGGAACCACGAGTTCGGCGCGATTGGTCCATGTGGATGCTCGAAAGAGCTTTCGGGATACAGATATCATAGTCAGGGGATTAGACCTCGTGGAACATCACAGTTCGGTCTTGGAGTGTATCGTGGCGATAGAGAAGCCCGGCTCCTAGCTTCATATGCATGTTATGACTGACAAAGATATTCGCTATAGCTCTCAAGGTCGCCTTATCCACCTCCTTTTCCTGTTCTTCGAAGGTCTTGATTGCATTGAAAGAGGGGACATCCAAGATAGCACTCTCTACTGCGACTGCCATTATATCGGCAGGTCTCACTGTTATATCATTGGTGTTAGCAATTACTGCTTGAAGGACAGTGGCAAATCTAGGTGACTCAAGCACCTATATATTACTATGTATATCGATAACGATAGGGCAGGAATGATGCTTGGGTGATATTGAACGGAATATACGATACCTTCTCGTGACGTGGAGATATGAAGCCCACAACAAGCGGGGATAATCTATATGCTTTGAAATTTGCGCTAGGCACCTGGACCTGGAGATAATGGAAAAAAAGCAGATTAAAAGGAAGGCCGTATTTATCTACCTAAGAAACGCTCGGTTGATCCTTTGCCATCAACATTGCTCGAGCTGGGGCGAGGGCGAGCGGGGAACCCTGTCACCCAAAGCGGTTTCGATAAAGTCCAAGATTGCAACGTCTAATAGTTCATTCCTAGAGCAAAGATCCACTCCAGATGAAAAAAAGCTAAGACGCAGGATATGATAGCCACCTATTATTGGCCTGAAGGTTTCCGAACTGGGTTTCCTGCTGGTGTGGCCTGCAGCACGCGGTTTTGCACACGAGAAATATGCATATAAGCACTCGAACGAGTTAGCGGAAAAGGGACTGGCGGCTACATACTGACTGCCATTGGATGCATTAGCTAGCTCGAGGCTGTGCCATAGACCCTGGCGTTGGCTCGAGCACCCGAAATCAGCCCTAATACGGGCTCAGCGGCCCGTGTAGTGAGCATCGTCCGAGGTACAGCGTGGTTGAAGTACAGCAGGACTGAAAATATTAGAGCCCCTTCCCCACCTCAAGCGCAGATCCGTGCAATTCATAATACTTTCGCACCCCCCAGGTCTCTGGCCCGAAATTAATTCAGCCTGGTTGCAAGGACCACTCCTCTATTCCGAGCCCTCGGGCGAGACAAGATAACTTAAACTTGCTATCCTCCTCCTCTCCTGTGGCTCACTAGTACTGTAGCTATACAACGAACGTATTATCAACGTGATACAGATCAACCAATCGTAGGTACTCGACTATTTTCCCACGAATGAATAGACCAGCACACACTGATACCAATTTCGTTAACGATGAAGATATCAAGTACACCATGACAGAAAAAAAGGATGAACGGAGAGAAGAACAACAACGCACACGTACATCGAGAATGATGGAAAGGAGCAGGAGCAAGCATTACCGGCAACAACCATCTTCCCGTATCGATCTTCCATATAGCGTGTCAATTCTTCCCTTGGCTTGATTGGCCTGAAATCATATTGAATGTTGGGGAAAATGGATGCGTCTTTCGGCCGGGGGCATAGGGCAATATAAGTCTCGCGATAGGATTTCTTCAACCTGGCCGTGGCCCGTGGGATAGGACCAGATTCTGGAATTTCCTGGACAGCGAGAAAGCAAACGTCGAAGCGACCCTGGTGCAGATATCTGGCCGTCTCTTGGAAGATGAGAAATAGTGCCGCCACTGTCAGCTGGGCTATGGCATGTTCTAAGGATGCGTGGAGGCATTCTTTTCTGGGTCGTCGGGTATTTTTGCCCTCCTGGCAAAACTCTCCAGTCTCTCCTATCGCGAACCCACTCGGACCGGTAAGTTGTAAGAGCTGAAAGGCGAAGGCGAGTATGAGTATTCTTATATTGTATTTTCTCTCGTAATTTCCTCGATCTTTATCGTAAAATTCATCTGCCAAACCAATATGGCTTCTTATTTCAGCAAGCTCATCGCTTTCCAGGATATATTAGTCAATCCCAGCGGGCCAATTACCAGGCAAACTGGTTTCACGGAATTGCTTATAGCCTTGAAAGTATTCGATATGGCGATCGTCTCCCTCCTCATCAAGAACGCAAGCGATAGTATCAATGGACAAGCAATAGGCTATATAGTTCGTTGGATAGGGTTTCCCATATTTATGACCATATAATTGTGAAACCAATGCTGAGCCGTATCGTCCTATCAGGTGTAAGCCTCGATGGTAAGAATTAGGGTATCAGAAGCGCCTTGCTATTGACCTTTTTTCCGAGTGCTATCATATACTATAGGATCCTTGGCATACTCTACTTTTCTAAAGACTTGGCGAAGAAAATGATAGAATCTTTCTATTGTCAACGTCAAATTTCAGTAGTTACGTTCTAAAAATAGGCTATGGCGTCATCTTTCTACCTTAAGGGTAGTTTATCCTCCCCTTCGAGGAGCAACTTTTGGGCTAAATCTTCTATGGTATTGATTTCCGTAAATCGCGCCGTGGCTAAGGGCAATGATGATAAGGAGTAGTTCTAATGCAAATTGGGGCCTATTATGGTCACGGATACCTATCTCAAAGCTGTATAGCGAGTAAGCATTTGCGAAAGGAAGGAATGAAATGGCACATTTCTGGAATGAAGCAAATGACCTATACGGTATACTTAAGGTCTCTCCGGGCCCGTTGTCTCATTGGTTATTAAGCAAAGTAAGTAACTAATGAAGAGGGATATGCACGATGGGCAGTCTGGCCAGACAGACAAGACGAGAGCGACACAACAACACGAACCATCCAGGGAGGTCAGCTAGCAAGCATAGGGATCATACAGACCGTAGTAGACGTCCTTGTCTCCTAATGCAACAACATCCTGTAAACTCCTTTTTCATTCTGTGAGTAGTGACTGGTCTATCTTCTTCTCTGGGATTCTAGTTCACACGAAGGCAGGCCCCTGACTACGGAGTAAGGTAATCACTATTGGCACAGTTAACTAGTTAACTAACTAGTTAACTAGTTAACTAAACTTTGTCTCGGCCTGAAATATTAGGCTACCACTTGAGGATTCTTCCCCCGCTTCATTGGTTGGTTACCCTTTGCTGTTAAGTAACCTATGACCAGGCCTGAGCGCCCTCATAAAGCGGCGGCCACCCCGATCGGGAAATTCGCATCCGCGGCCTAAAATCCGGTACATAGTGCTATATATATGCGGGGTGTTGGGGTTGATCAAAGCGTCAGGCTATTCCGGGTTTTTGGTTGAAATCGGCCTGGATGCTATAGCCAAGCGTATTGCGAAGCATTAAGCTCAACACGGTGGAGACAATGTGTTTTATATAGACGGTTGAATACTCCGAACGGAGTAGTATACTACAACAATGACTCTTTTCTTTTTCTTCTCTTCTTCTCTTTCGCCTTTAACGTTTGGTCGCAGTCAAAATTCCCTGTAAATTGTACAGGCTCTCCCTGGCCTTTACTAACTTGATCAGCATGTTAATTCTCACTGCCAGATATTGCATATCCAAAACCTATGCCAGCTTGAATAATATCGAAACTTGGGCCCACATATATCAGAGACTCTCCCGGGTGTTTTGAGACATTGATAGTTATTAGTTTAACTTAGATTATCGAACTGGCACTATGCTGACTTAAGGACGGATCACGTTCCGCGGGACACAACTTAACTACATTCTTTGACTCGTCTCCGATAATTGCAGGGTCGAGATTTTCATTGCCACAACTACTGCGAAGCTGTATAACATTTTCACAATTGTATATTTGAGAGTGCTGGAAGAAAAAAGTGATCGGTTTCCCCGTACAACGTGCAACGCCGAAGTTTGCCCTGCAGCTTTATCTCCCCGCCTGCGCTTGCCCCGCCTTTCCACTTCCACTTTCCTCGATTTGATAATTGTAAGTCTGCATTTCATTTGAAACCCTCTGAAAGGGTGGCTTTTTGATCTTGTCTTTGGGGAAATCTACAGATCTTGCTTTGATCCCTCCCAGCACTATCCACACCTTACATCTTCGAAGGTCGGCATTGAACCCGACCACCATTTCTCCTGAGAGTTGGGCTGATTAAAAGCAGTGTCACATGCGACTGGAATGATCCCACATCATGGCTCTCAAGTATGCATCTGCCTCCATAGCTGTTTCTCCCCGGGGCCGGCCAGGACCAGACCCATATAACTTAAAGCATCTATACTGACTGCCTAGTTGGGTAATGCTTGATGACCAGGGCTTCGTCCGTCTTCCCAACGAGCGTTTAATCTACTCTTCCCCTCCTCGTACTAGTGTCTCTTTGACTCCACCGTCCGGATACAAAGGCGCAGAGAAACTTTCAGTCCAAAGCAGCGCTGGCTGCATCCACCTCACCAATCAAAGAGTCAGTATTCATCCGTGTCCATGCCCCCGACCATTTTAACCCTCGTCAGGTTGTCTACCTTCCCGCATCTAGAAGCGATGACTTCCAGTCCTTCTCGTCACCCCTGTTAAATGTCCGTGACTCCCATGTATCGGCACCATTCTTTGGACCCAATGTATGGACAGCTCTGATACAACCAGTATCTGGGGGTGGCATTTCACCGTCTCTGCCTGCCGTTCAGTTGAAAGTGACATTCAAGGAGGGCGGAGCCTTTGATTTCCATACCAACTTCGAACGGATCAAGGAACGACTCGAGCAGGCTGTTGAGAACACAGGCGAAAGCACTCGGGCCCGACAAAACGTGGATCTCTCAGCAGTTCATCTGGAAGAGCTGCCTGCATATGAAGCTCCCCCTACTCCTGGCCATGCTAGACCCAGTGAGACACCAACAGAATCAGAAAACAGTCGAGCATCTGACGCCGGAAACGAACCCATGGAACCGCCTCCATGCTACGAGGAGGTTCAGTCGCAGAGTGTAGCCCACGAGCTGGAGGAGAGGCTACGACGGGCCACCTGAATTTTCGGGAATCTATTTCAATATGTCCTTCTATCACATATTTGAATTAGCTCCTTTCTATTCTCTATCTTATGTACATTATGTCCCCGTCAATTAGCAATTAGCGACACGAAAGCGGTGCTTCCGCACTTAGAAATGGAGAAACGAAGAGTTTATATGTTCGCCAACGTTGGGTCTCAACGAACAATAGTAGAATTATCCCATACCTCCGAGATCCTTAAACCAAGCAGAAATAACTCTAGTACTAACTTCCTCATAAACTGCACTTGTCAAGTCCTGAATGGCGTCGGAGCCCATTGGCCAATCACGTGCGGCATAATTGGTGTCTCTCAGCGGCCGGGCCTTTCCGATTTTCCAGTCCGAAAGAAGCAGCTCTTGGGCAAAACCAACAACCTCCTTCAATTACAACCCCCTTCCGCTTTTCCACCCCCACACAAGACCTCCGGTCATCATTTAATTGATCTCTGTCGCAATGGGTCTCTCCGAATTTTTCTCTGACGTCGTCTCCTCCTTCGGTTTCACCGAGGCCCAGGCTGAGGCTCCCGCCCAAGACACCGAAACCGAGACCACCCAGGAAGAGCCCACCGAGAAGGAAGAGTCCGCTTCCACCTCGAGCGAGTCCGCCGAGGAGGCCGCCACCGAAGAGGAGCCTTCCGAGGAGGCTGAGGAGGGTGAGGCCGAGGAGGAAGAAGAGGAAGAAGAGGAGGAAGAAGATGAAGAGCCCGAGGACATCAAGCCCAAGCTCGAGGATGGTGAGTGACCTTGTTGTTTTTCCTGACTTTTACTTTTTTATTCGCGTTTTATTCTCGCCTCTGTCATGCGATCGTTGGACATAGGCTATTGTTCGTACCAATTGGTTTTATGTGTCAGGATCCGCGCGTGGTTGACAAAACCGCCAATGGCATTGCAAAGAGGAATTCCACCGGCTATCTCGATCAGAGACTAACTATCACTCTCAGAGTGCGCCCACTCCGCCGTCTGCGCTCCCTACAAGCACCACTACGACGAGTGCGTTGAGCGCGTCACCCGCCAGGAGGAGGATGAGGACTACAAGGGCCCCAAGGAGGACTGCGTCGAGGAGTGTAAGTGCAATTAACATCAACGATGGATTCAGAAAAACATGGAATTGCCTTCCATCGAGTCCGGATTGTGCAACTAACAAAACCCAGTCTTCCACCTTACTCACTGCGTCACTGCCTGCGCTGCCCCCAAGCTCTGGAAGGAGCTGAAGTAAACGACTCTTCCATTGAGTCTTGATTTCGGCGTTCCATCCAACCCTTGCATCGATCCGGCCCTCGAATAACCTTCGCTCTCCACCGCATTGATACCGGGGAAACCCTTGGACCGAAACGCCGGAAGAAAAACCAATCCCGTTTTTATGATGGCTGCCAAGGCGGACTGATAGCCTGGTAGCTTGCCGCCTTGGATTGAGAACGCAGGATCGATCTACAAAATCATGTTTTTGGTCGTTCCTTGCGTGTATGTGTTCGCATATGTATTGTGTTTTCAAGGTAGGGAGGAGGGCCCAGAGGAAGAAACAGAATAATAGATCATTCGCCCTCCTCTCTCAGCCTTGCGTGTACAGATAGCTGGTCTTCCGCCTGTTCAAACTGTGCTTTTGTTATTCTCTTGTTTTAAAACGAATCTCATCTGTCTAGATTGCATTGTACTCTGGTAGACTAGGCTTAGCCATATCCGACTATAGGATTCAGATAACTCGGCTCGTTATTATCATGGTCAGATTATTTACAAGTATGCTCGATTTGCTAATACTGATGTATCGACTCAAGTCCCTGTGGGTGGTCATAGATTCAAAATGTATTAAGGTAATATGGACGAGGTATAACTCGGGCTGACCAGGGACAACAAATAAAGACTCGTCAAGTGCATCGTGGCACATCATAAATAAAAAGAACAAAACGTCAACTGCTCTTCCGAACTGAGATGGATGAATCGCTCATCCCAAAACAAATCTGATACACATATCCTCTCATGTCTTGATCAGAGTATCAGTATCCACGGCAGAATCATCAGACGTAACCCTCTTAACATCATCAACGGACCCAATCACCTCCGCTACGGTCTGCATCTCAACACCCCGATCAACCTCCCACCTACGACGATGAACCTCCCTCCCAAAAAGCCCAATCGTCAACGGAAACGGCGCAGCCACAACAGCAACGACAGCCGAAAACACCAACGCATTCCGCATATTATACGGCGGCGCAGCCCCAGCCCCAGCCTTCAACGCATCCTGGATAAGAATAAAGCACGCACCAAGCAACTGCCCGCCCGTCCAGCAGATAGTACTCCCAATCTCGGACGACAGCGGATAAGTAATTTCGGCAAGGTATTCCAGCGCAATCGGCAGCATAGCGAACGACGCCGCGCCTAGCAGCGCCATAACCACATACGAGGGCGGGATTCCCGCCGCACTGCCTGGCGCGAAAATAAGCCCGATATACGTGGCTGCCACTATGGGCACTAGCACCCGGATACTGCCCAGGTAGTGCTTGTACCGGTCTGTTATCGGCGACATGATTGCCGACGTGACGAGTCCCACCACGATCAGGATCGCTCCCGCAATGCCGGCTTCTGTCTCGGAGAACCCGTGCGGACTGAGAATTTGGTTTAGCAGTGAGGAGACGCTGTTGAAGAAGCCCACGTATACGGCGAATGGGATGAAGATCTGCCAGAATTCCCGCGTGGTGATTAGTTTGCGCACTGCGGCCCCTAGGGGCGTGTGCGGCTTTGCGGCGGATGCGCTTGCTGGTGTTGGTGGTGAGGCGGGGAGGAAGAATGATGGGATTGATGCGACGGTGGACTATTGTGTTTACGTGGTGAGCGAGAGCGAGAATTAACCAATGGGTGGGTGGGTTTAGGTTTTTGGGATGGGGTTTCACGTACGATGATCGTGATGTACAGGACCATATTTGGGATATCGGAGGGTTTCGACGCCCATTCTGAGTCGATTAACTGGCCGAGGGCTGCGCCGAGTGGGTTTGCTAGACTGGCGACCGCTGTTGCGCTCGTGCGGCCTTGATCTGAGAACCAGAGCTCGCTGTATCGGGTTGGTGCGCATAGGCAGAAGGGCTGCGCGAACCCTATTATGATCTGGCCGAGCATAGCGAGCCCGAAGATGCCGCCGTTGGCTCTAGTGCCGGCATATCTGAGCCAGTTGCCGACTAGCAGGAGTGCGGCGGTGGTGACTATAGCTGGTTTGGGGCTGCTTTTGTTCAGGATCCAGATGACGATGCTGGGAATATAGTTAGTGAATGTGGGATACTTGGAGCGGATACTTTTATTTTCTTTTGCTGTTTCAGAACAGGCGATTCATGTCTACTTACGGGCTAACAGCACAGAAGGCGAAGAGGTAGCCAGTGCTCATCCAGTTAATAGCGCTCTCCGAGACATCGAAATACTCCGCAGCCGTTGTCGAGATGGACGAGAATGTTAACCACTGTTTACGAGCGTCAGCGACATGCGAAATCGATATATGGATCGATCACGAGGGCGCGCATACATCCCAACTGACGACAATATTCAGCAATACCAGTTGGGCTAAGCCCCAGAAGCGTCGCTTATAGACCTTGTAGGTAGGTCGAGAGCCCTGCTCGGTATCTGAAGAGCCAAAATTCGACATGTCCACAGCGAAGTGTGACAGACCAAATTCATTCTGTGTGGGCCTCTATAATAAAGAGAAACAAAGCGGCGTCTCCCATCCTTTTAGTCTCTTGGCTTTTTCAATGTGACTCTGGGGGATCCGAGGTACACGCAACCGGGTACTTGGCGGTACCTGACCAGCCCTACGATGACGCTGCATTACGCAAGTACTATCAAGTACTACTGGAGATACACAGCGGGGTTGATCGTCGAACCAAGTGAAGTCGGCTTATCTTAGTTTCAACTAATATAGTCGTCGGATATAGCACAGTGGGTGCACAGAAGGTGTATAGTAGAGTGTATCTGTACAATATAGTGGATTTCTCTAAACGAATCACCTCTGAAGACAAAGAAAGTGGAATGACCAACCTTGGATCTCGTATACGTATTCAGGGGTATTGACTCCATACATCTAAATCTATGAATCTGAACCTTGAATCTGTAAATCTATGATATCTACGCCGTACGTGTAGAATACAAATCGAACATCTTACACAGTAAATTGCCGTGGCTGAACCCTAAGGTGATGCCGATCGTATATTTTCTCCTTTGCTCCCCGCCATCTTTTAATATTAGCTACTCCGTGCCTTCGCTAAATACAGATCCCTCTCCACTCTTCCCCTAACCCATAGTGACCCCTACTACATTTCTCTCCGATCGCAAACTCCAGGGCCTCATGATGCCCGACGCCTGTTCCTGAATTTCTCTTACGAATTCCAATCGGAGAGACCCTGGCCATTGAACGACCATGAATTCAAGTATGCGCTCCAGCCAGTCCTCCTACGGGGACTCGCGGTATCCATCGAATATGAGCATAAACGCCTCCGATGCTCCAGGTCCGGTGCCGCCGCTTGGAAAGACACTAGTGGACGGGTATCGAGATACTCTAGACCCCCAACATGAGGACCGGTCGCGGTACAACCCTGTGAGTAGCGACACAACACACCAACCCGGACTCTAGCTGACCATGGTTCCTTTGTTTTTGGTAGCTCAATCCGGACCACCCGCGAAGCTCGGCTCTCCTTAATGCCAACGACCCCGTGGCCATGTACATGTTGACCGAGACCGCGATAGGAGATAGCACGAATTACGAAGTCCTGTCCTTGGAAGAGGTGGAAGAGCTGAAGAAGGAAATGACACTGCTGTCCATTCGCATCCAGGGCACGAAGCGGAAACTGACGGTCGAAACAAAACTGCGTGATGCGGCGCAGTCTCTCGGTAGGCTCTACAGCCCGCCCAGTCCACGGAGCAGCGGCGAATACAATACCAATGGTGGTTCGAACTCGAACCGGATGAGCCGGGGCATATTTGGTCGCAGTGGGGCTTCTGAGGCCCTCGAAAAGAGCGACTCCGAACTCGCGGTCAGCCAGCGACGATGTGAGGAGTTGGCGCAGGAACTCTGGAGGCTGGAGAAGAGGTCCCAGACGATCTGCCAGCGCTTGCTGGAGCACACTGCGGGTGTCTTGCAGATGACACACAAGGGTCTGAAGAAGGGCCGTAAGAGCCCTGCTCCGAGCACTTCGGATAGCACCTATGACAAATTCGACGATCGCAGTCTCTACCGGACAACTGAGAATTTGGATAACTTTGGCTTGAACGGGAAGATCGAGACCAACGCGGCCGTCGTAATGAATACCGAGGCTATGCAGGCTACAGAACGACGATTGGAGGAACTAAGCGCGCGCATGCATAACATGATGATACAGTCCAACCCCGGTGAATCCATTGACCCTCCCCCGCAGCTGTCAGAGGATGGAGGGCCTGTCAATCCTACAGCAACGGTCGACGCTCACTTGGACTATATCAAGAATAACATGGATAATATCGTCTTGCACAGGGGAAACGTTCCTGCTCCCGTGGCTTCTCGCGATATCGTACCTGAAGTCGAGTACGCTTGGAAGCACCAACTCACCGAAATCAACAATCGAGTGCAAACCATTGTTGATCGGTTTGGTTTGACCCGTTCGCCCACCTTGCCTCCACCCCCTGATGCATCTCACGGTGAGGGGCTGGAAGAACAACTCTCATACCTTCAAGCTGGTGTAGATGGTCTGGAAAGTCGAGTGGATGGAGTACTTGAGCAGAAGAGTATTCTGACCACACAAATCCAGCAGCAACGCGAACTCAACTCCAAGTCGGATGCCGAACGCGATGCCCAGATCGGAGAACTGACGGAACAGTTGACCCAAGTTCGCAAAGAGCTCGAAGTATCCGAGCGTGAAAACAACGCCAACCGCGACGAGCTGGCTCTTGTCATGGCGCAGCTCAACGAAATGCGCCACAGTGGCTCTTCTCAGGAAGAAGCCAAGGCGACTCTGGTTCAAGCCGAGGGCGAAGTCGCGCGCTTGCAAAGCGTTATTACCTCGTTGCACAGCGAAGCTGATGCCAGGACCAACGAAGTTAGCGATGCCCGGGATGCCCAGGATCAAGCAGAGGCCGAGATTAAGCGCCTAGAACAATACATCGACGAAGTGCAGAGAGACAACGATACTAAGGCCGAGGAACTCAGTGATTCCCGCGACCGCGCAGAAGGCGAGGCCAAGCGTCTACAGGCCGTCATTGCGTCGTTGGAGATTGATACCGACGCTAAGAGCCAAGAGGCCAGAGAGGCCCGCGACCGTGCGGAAGACGAAGTCAAGCGTCTAGAGGTCGTCCTTTCATCATTGCAAAATGATAATGACACTAAGAGTGAAGAGGCCAAAGAAGCCAGAGAGGCCCGCGACCATGCGGAAGACGAAGTCAAGCGTCTAGAGGTCATCATTGCGTCGTTGCAGAATGACAATGCCACTAAGGGTGAAGAAGCAAGAGAAGCCAGAGAGGCTTGCGACCATGCGGAAGACGAAGTGAAGCGCCTACAGGTCCTCATTGCATCGTTGGAGAATGATACCGACGCTAAGAGCCAAGAGGCTCGAGACGCCCGCGACCGTGCGGAAGACGAAGTCAACCGTCTAGAGGTGGTCATCTCATCATTGCAAAATGATCTCGACGCTAAGACCGAAGAGGCCAGAGAGGCCCACGCCCATGCGGAAGATGAATCCAAGCGTCTACATATCATCATTGGGTCTCTGCAAGACGAGCACGGTGCTAAAGGCGAGGACGTCAAGGAAGCCCGGGACCGCGCGGAGAACGAGGTTCAACGCCTACAGAGCGTCATTGAAACGCTGCAGAACGATAGCGATTCCAGATCAGAGGAGGTCAGGGGTGCCCGTGACCGTGCAGAGCAAGAGGTGGCTCAACTCGAAGCCGCAATCCAACAGATCCGGATTCAATCTGATGCCCGCATTAAGGAAGCAGATGATCAGCGCGCGCAGTCCGACCAGAACGTCACTCGCCTGCAGAATGAGTTGACTGAACTTGAAGGCGAGATTGTGCGAGTCACAACTGAACTGACAATGGCCAAGGCAGAGCTGGATGGTGCCTATGGTAGCCGAGCCGAGCGCGCGGCAGAGGTGGCTTCCAACCCTAATGTCCAAAGGGAGAACGATGCTCTGGTTACCCGAAATATCGAGCTCACCGAAGAACTGGCCTCTCTGAAGAGCCACCGCGGAGGTGCCGATCTTCAGCAGCGGGCGGATAACCTTGAAAGAGAACTTCGTGAGATTATCGATGACTACGAAGCCATGACAAAAGCCAGCATCGAGTTTGAGAAGGAACGCGAACGCTTCGAAATTTTCATTGACACTCTCCGGGATCGTTGCGAGCAACTCGAGACACAACTAGCGGAAGAACGTATCAGCTGGATGAACTTGAGTAGTCCCACATCTGTTGGCCGCGATGGCACTTCTGAGACGACATCTACCATGGTGCTCAAGAATGAGTTCAAGAAGATGATGCGTGACACACGCAACGAGAACATGAAGATACTGAGGGTGAGTTGTCTTTTGTACCTTTCTCTCTTTTCTAACTAACACCTCCTAGGCCGAACAAGAAGAGCGTCGCAGACTTGAAGGGTTGCTGCGAGCCCTAAGAAAGGAGCACGCCCAGGTGACTGGCAAGCCAATTCCCAGCCCAGGTGGCACTCCATTATGATCATGACATCCAACGTTTTCGGGTTTAGAGCGCATATTCATTTGAGAGTGTACATATAGATTGTTTTGTTTTGTATAATATTTTTTTTGGCTTAATCTCGGCAGGCACGATGAGGGTTTTCAGGGAAATCACATACTCTTCTTTGGGTATTCCCATCTATTACTTTCTCCCAGTATATTTTTATCTTGACCAGGCTTCGCTCCTTTGCCTTCAAGATGATGGCCCGAGGAAGAATCGATCAGTCTAGTAACCCTCATTCACAGTTTGTTTTAGCATCACAGAGCCTCCGACGTGGAAAGCACCCTCGCGATTCCGACTCCACTTCGCCATACGATAACCCAGACTCATTTGAGTCCACCCTAAGTGATGAACGATCTATATACAATGCGATCAGAGTCACCACGCCAAATGATTCCAGCCCTCGTTTCTACGCGTCTCTCCTGCAAGAGAACCTCGTTCACGAGCAAGGCCTAGCGGTAAACATGGCCAGATTCGTTCCTTCAGATTCACAGGATGATCATACTCCGATGACTGTGCCAGCCAGGCAAGGAAGACGACAGAGAATGGCAAGGAAGCTTGGGAATCACACCAAGCTTTTATCTGACCAGTACTGGCAAGCCACACACCGGTCGAGACCTCCTTTGAGTGGAAATACATCGGTATCAGACCGCCGTCCGCCTTTACATCGCAAGGCTGTTTCCCTCGGTGATGATAGTATCCGTAGGCCTAAATGGCCTGGGAACTTGGGCCCTGCAGTAGCGGTTGTCCAACCTCGATATCCACCGCCAGAAAGATCGCCTACACCCCCTGGCCTTCCCTCCTTCGGCACATCAGAAGCTATGAGTATATCTGCGCGGTTCATCATCCCAGATAACAATGCACGGCCATCCGGAAACATGCAACCTGGAGGTCCTACTAGTGGTCAGCGTGGCACCTCGTATGGCGACACCCTAAGGAGATTCTTTGGCTTGCCGTCTTCTGTGTCTCATGCTAGTGGGATTTCCGTTAATGGGATAGGAAGAGCCGAGGATGGTACGCTAGTACAGGGCCGGTTCCCCCATCGGCAAAGTGGACATGGAATGAACATGGGTCGACCGCTGCAGGACCACCCTTTCCACCAACGCAATCTTCCCGTTGCCCACCGCGAAGCCACATATACAAGCTACGATCGTTATGGTGAAGGTGCACACACAAAAGGTAGCATTGGGAGAAACCCAAGCAGGCGTACCCAGCCTCTGGCTAGGTCCTCTAGACGACATTTTCCCTCTCCATCGAACCCGGCCCCTGCTGTAGTAAATCGCCCACCGCGGCCCAGAGCTAATACACTTCTCAGCTTGTCGCGCAATCTGGCTAGCTCAAACGGTCCTACAAATTCGGTGGAGTCTACTGCCCAAGGAACGAGGGCAACTGGCGACCACATCCCTCCTAGTCCATCGCGGTTGCAGTCGGTTTTCACGATGACTGTCTGCGGCGGCAGTGCAAATGAAGGCCCTCACACAAACATGCCCGTATGTCCGGACGTTCTGTCGTGGGTGAAAGCGCAGTCTTTCCTCTTCTGCTGCCCGGGCAGCCATGAGGAGCCGGATGATTCGCTTGGAGCAACCAGCTCACGGGACACATATGTAACCGCGCAGAGCCAGGTATCGCCTGCTGGATCTCAGAACGAGGGCAGTGGTGGGAATACTCATCTCCATGGCTTCCAGACATGGATCTCATCTTTGTACGGTGTCATGTTTCCGACCCCTATCACCCCTGCCGCTGTTTAGTCTTTCATTCGAAGTATATGCATCTCCATGACCCCTTGCACTAATACTGTGGTGCTAGTTTCTTTCTTTTGTGAATGCTCAGTGCATGAACGCACTTGCTTGATGGTCTATCATTAACTCGAACGTCCTGTACATATGTACCGGATAATACCTGGCACTCGAGACCTTTCCCTTTCCGTTTTAGTGCTCACTTCTCGCCGCTTTTCTGAGCGAATAACGTCATGTCTTTCGCGCCATTGCTCAGTAGGTCGTAAACTGAAGACAAGCCATCAAGAGTGATCGGTATTACTAAACTTCTAAGGGTCCATAGCTATTTCATTTTAATCCTAGGAATTCTACGCATCGTCCGTTCTTCTTAGCATTTCTGCCTTAAGTGATACCTTTTTAAAAGAGGTACATAAGTCTAGTCACTACTTTCCTCATCGATAGTGATCAATCCACAACAAACTGATACCATATCTTCGATATGTGGCAGGTCTCCTTTGTCAAGCTGGAACTTTCCCTCCTTTATTGCCAGGGCATACTGAAGTTCTTGTATACTGAGCGGCCGCTTCGCATAGATGATCCATGACAAAACCTTCACTGCGAGTTGTTTTAAACCCGGCCGCTGTTGATCAATTCTCTCCATCACTTGATCATAGGCATGGCTCAATATCTCAGTCTTCTCATCTTCACTTGATCCTCGATCTTGCTTCCGAAAGTTTTTCAATGACCTCTTGATATCATTTGTGGTCAATTTGTCATCGAGGAAATCAAGATAAATTTGTGCCAACAGAAACATTCCATCGACTGCATCTGAGATCGTAGTTTTAATCTCCTCCTGCAGTTGGCGATTCTCTAGAACACAAGGTCGTAGTTGTCTCATATGGCTTTCCAGGTACATCCCAACGTCCTCGCTGGTCGCACAGATCTCTAACGATAAGGCGTCTTTGAATTGATCCATAATTTCTGATATGAATCGCGATGTCGCAAAGATATTTGCGCTGTGTTATGTCTGAAGGTTGAAAAGCTCTGATACAAAATGCCGCCGGTCAGATGCCTGGCATTTGTCAAGTATATCAATAATAATAAAGAGTTTTGAAAATGTCGCTACTACAATTAGGAGAACTTTGGAAATTTCTTCGGCTAATAGTCGTATTCCTCTGGCTTTATAGTACTTATAGAGCTCTTTAACGCTATTTAGGAGAGGCTAGCACTGCCTAGCTAGCTGTTTTAGTAAGCCTGCTAGTATATCCTTAATCTTCTAGTCGTCCTGCCGCTTAAAGTCGCAGTATATATAAGCGATACTAATTGCTAGGTCTGCTTAAAACTCCTGGTCGAGATGGTCGACTACAATTAAGCTAATAATAGTTTTACCAGCTCTAGGAATTCTGGGATAAAACATTGTCTAGTTCTTACTCGCCTTCTATATCTTGAACTGTATCGACTCTAGAATCTACTGGCCAGTTCTATGTTATCTTCTTCCTAAGTAATCGCTTTATTAAGGCCTATAGTTAATCAGTATAATCTAGTTAAGTATCTTAAGCTCTTCCTTTTATACTAAATAGCTACTTATCTTTTTAACGTTTACCCTAGACTAGGATATAGCGTTAAGAACTAAATCTATATTATTAGAAGGCTATCAAAACTTAGTAAAAAGATCTTAAAGTTGACTAACCCTACCCAAGTATTTCTTTCACTAGCCGCTCTCCCTCAACATCAGTTGGTTGCAAGAATGCCAGAAATTCTTTTACAAATGCTGCGGTAACAGCCGCAGCGTATTCCTGCCAATCTTTGTTCTTATATAAGTCCGCGTAATCGTAGATTCCTCGGATAATGATACACAGGAAGTTGTTCACCAGCCCCGCTGCTTCCATTTCGATGCAAAGGAGATGGCCACCAAGATCTTTGTTAAGTTTGTTTCGGAAAGCAGCATCCCTAATAACCTAGTTTCCCGATGCGATGCACATACCTACCCCAGAACGTATTCCTTATGAGTTCTGGGTTCGGTACCCATCTGCGCAGTCATTGTAAGAGGACTGGACCAGGCCTTTAGGCTACCGAAGGTCAATATCGATATTAATCAGCCGTAGTCGGTTCCGGTCGATTACAGGGCTCTAGTTTGATTCAAAGTAGGTAATAACGACTCAAAGGCAAGGTAAAGCCCCATATACAGAGGAAGATTGGTGCTATCAAGCGAAAAGAAGGGGAGAATTCTCTCAAAATCCCACTTCTATTACCGGGTCATGGGCTAAGTATATTCGGCCTTATAGGGTTTTGTCACATCAGACCTGTATACAGCTCGGAATTCACGCCATAATCTACAGCCCCCATCCTGAGTCACTTAGGTATACCTAACTGATGCCTAAATCCATGCGAAACCTACTACTTTCTCATCCCGTCTATCTTAATATATAGGATTAGACAAGTACCTAATAAGTAGAAAGTCTGCTAGCGAGTACTCTGTAGTTAATTAAACACTAGTATATTAATATCTACCAGATCCCCGTAGGGAATATAAGAACCAATAACCCAATAGGCCTAAGAGTATAGATCGTTTCCCCGGATATAGAGCGCTAGGGTCCTTCTTAGTGGGGTTCCATCCAGGAGAACAAAAACGGTCCCCAGTTAATCTTCGAAAGTACCCCATGCGTTCGGCCATAGGAGAGCTCTTCAATTGTGGTTATTTCCATTACAGCGAGCCATCCGTTTCCGCACCTCTTCTTTAGTCAGAATCTTCACTACATCCTTAAGGAAGAGATAACTATGACCAGACCAGACAGTTATAATAGCCACACTATTTTCTGCGATCAGCTTCGATTAGGAACAGCTTAGGCCACTAAGTTGGGACTAGGGCGGCAAAAGGAAGTTTCCGAACGAATTAAAAAGAAATAGGTGAATGCAGACATACAACAGCATGAGTATGACCGTGGTCACCTAGCGCCCACGGTTCGGGCGTGGGCGGCTCGACGCTCTATCCAGGGCACTCAGAGCAGATATTCACCTACCTGAATATTCCTCACCCGAATATTCAGCCCGTACAGCAAAAGGTACATTTTCATCATGACCAAAAAAGCTACAAGTATCCTTCCTTTCCCCGTCCATTTTCATCTCTCCAGCTTCGCTTTGTCACTCTAACCCCGCTTAATCACGAGCAAGATGCGTACCAAGCGAGAGAGGCACTATGGTTGTGAGGTGTGTGCGTCGAATGGAGAGGCACTTTGTTGTTATGAGGTGCGTCGAAGGAGAGAAGCACTAGGTTGTTATAGGGTACGTCGAAGGAGAGAGGTACTTTGGGGGATGATAGCGCTTGATAAGGGCTGAAAACCTATGCGCGTTTATTATAGTGATGATCGTCGAAGGAGAGGGGCACGTTGAGACCGTTTGCTAGTATCGAAACTAAGTAGGTGCTCGTAGGTAGGTGGCCTGGCCGGTAGGCGCGTCGTCGAGAGAGGCGCTAATGAAGCTGTTGTGTTTGCGTCGAATGGAGAGAGGCACTTGGTGATACCGTTTGCTAGTGTCGAAACTAGTAGGTATTTATGTGTGTGGCCTGGCCGGTGATGTCGATGGTGACGATGATGTCGATAGTGGTGGCGGCGTCGATGGAGGGGCCGATGGAGGATGGAGCTGATGATGATGAGGATCGAATAGAGCATCCGAGGGCACAGATCATGAATAGTGCATTCAATGTAAAATTCAATTGTATTAGACTCAACAGTACCCCCTATTCTAGAGCACAGTAACGACATTGTCGAAATGAGAGTCATGGTCCACAATCCACTAGAAACAGCCAACAAAAAAGCTCATATGCATCGCACAAAAATATCGATACTTCTTTAAGCGCACCATCTCGGAACACAGGTTCCGTCTTCATTGATCCCAGTATACTCCCAACAAGCTTCCTATACTATAGCTTCGTATCTCTCCTTGGCCTCACCAATCCGAGCGCCGACATTTGACGCCTATCCATTAAAGTGGCCTTTTACCGAAGAGTACTGTTGGATTTCACACACTCTGTAACTTAACTTCTTCAACAACTCAATAATATCTCACATTGCACCATGCACTTTGACATCCACCAAGTAGACCTCTCCTAACAAGTACTTCGGGTCTATATCCAATGCTATCTAGAAAGCATTGAAGAGTACTAACAGAGAGAGAGAAGCCACGTGACTCTCAGTCACTAACCTGTTCCCATTCGTAAACATGAGTTTGTTACAAATGCCTACCTTACGGGAATAGCTCAAGTAATTCATGCAGGGCTCAGTGAGGATTTGATTAAATCAGAGAGTCAGAGTTGGACTGGTCAAGCGATTATTTATAATTAGAACAAGCAAAAAGTATCCCTATTCCTTACTTTGTTATGAGACCTTCGTCTACCATCTCCAGCCCTTTTCATCGTGATAGGTATCAATGGCAGGGATATTAAAGTACCGTTCATCTGACTTGCTGTCCGATATAAGGTCAAACTGCACAAAGAGGTAGTCATCCCATTTTGCATAACCGTCTAGTAACTCGGCATCCCAGAACCCACAGATATGCCTAGAGACTATTAGCTCGGTGGATGTTGTGAGTTGAGTACCGACATACATCTCTCCTGTTATCCAGTCATAGATAATCTTCCGAATATCACCGATACTTGGCTCATACTCAACAAGCTGCCTATATCCTGTTAGCCGTAAATATATCAAGTAAGTGCTTTGAAGATATACTGGTAGGTGTGGCGAAATCGGGACCGAATATCATTGCGCTCCGCGAGGGGAGCTTGCCAGAAGGCTTCTTGAGTCAGGGGCTTCCCCGGGACTTGCTTCCACACAATGTACATAAGGCACCCTCTGGGCACGGTCTCCATGGCATTTTGCTTAGTAAGACGATAGCCAAGCAATTCCGGAACAATAACGCAGCGTCGGCGCTTTAAGGCCTTTAGGGCGATCAGCTCTGTTGGTTCGTAGGGCTCAACGGCTTGTTGCTTGCGATATTCATAGTCGTAAAGCTCGGTGCCAACGAATGGAATTTGCTTATAAACTTTCATAATGCCAAGCTTCTTCCCATTGTCATTGTCATCGGTAGACCGGCACCGGAATATGCCAAGCACGTAGGCTGGTCGCGTACCATTATTCGATTCGATTTCATGCATGGCGCACATGTCTTCGTCGATTTTTTCGGTAATTTCCCAGGTTTCAAACGCAGGGCCAGTAATTGGTAGGGGCCATAAGTCGACGGTGACCTTGGTGCCAAGGAGACCGGAAAGAATCGAAGTACTCATCGAGAGGTGGGAGTGGATTGGGTAAAGGAGTCAAACAGGTGGGGAAAGGGAAAGACAAAAGTGGAGAGTAAAAGCGGGTGTGACGATCTAGATGATCGGCCGTTGTTGACCGCTTGTAGAGTTTTCTGCTAGATGTTTCCGCCTTTAGGGTTGTTAGATGTTTACGTGGTTTGCTGGCCCCTGAATGTATTTGGCTGTAATTTACAGCGAAATTACGGACCATATGAGTGCATTCCAAGGCTGATCTTAGCATTTCTTTGCTTCGAGGGGATGGAGAAGACGGCTCCTGCCAATAGCATCTTTTCTCTTACCGCTCGCTGCTGCACATCGTGTACATCATGAGGCTGAGTCCCCCCGGTTGGCAAACATTTTCTCTCTACCTTCTAGGGCTTCTTTCCTTCTCTCAAGCCTCCTCCCCTCTCCTTTACTCACAGCCGCATATATTGTCCCCATAACTTAGGCCTCTATTGCACACCGGACGTCAGGACTTTCGAAAGGTCACGCGGGTAACTGATTTTCGGGCTTTTTCTCTCGCGTTGAAGCCATGTCAGATCCTGCGGGGTACACTGTGGGCTGGATTTGCGCCTTACCCGTGGAATACATTGCCGCACAAGAGTTTCTCGATGAAGAGCACGACAGACCGAGCTTCGTGTCGCCAAACGATGCCAACGACTATACGTTAGGCAAGATGGGCGAACACAACGTCGTCATTGCCGTCTTACCCGATGGTGAATATGGAACAGCTTCCGCGGCCAGTGTAGCAACAAATATGCTCAGCAGTTTCTACAACATCAGGATCGGCCTTATGGTCGGGATTGGGGGGCCGGGGGGGGGTGGGGGGTGTACCAAGCGAAAACCATGATATCCGATTGGGCGATATTGTGGTCAGTGCGTCTCGGGGTAGCGAGAGTGGTGTGTTTCAATACAATTTTGGCAAGTCGATCCAGGACCAAAGTTTTCAGCATACACGGTTTCTGAACCAGCCACCAGCTATATTACGCACTGCAATGCTAGGTATTCAAACTCACTACGAGAGAAAAGGGCATCAGCTCGAGGAGGCCATCAACGGCATCATTGAAAAGAACATGAGGCTATGTCGGAAGTACGAAAGGCCAGAGCTAATAACGGATAGGCTGTTTCTTCCTGAAGTTATCTATCACCAAGTAGACTGTGCTAAATGTGCGGTTGATCCTTCAAAGTTGGTACTACAGAGTGAGCGGGCCGACGACAAAGATAACCCTGCCATTCACCATGGCCTGATTGCTTCCGGCAATCAGTTAATAAAGAATGCTTTGATTCGAGATCAGCTTGCCGCGGAAAAAGACATCCTTTGTTTTGAAATGGAAGCCGCGGGGCTGATAAACACTTTCCCATATCTCGTCATCCGGGGTATCTGCGATTACTCGGACTCACATAAGAACAAAGAGTGGCAAGGGTATACAGCTATGGTGGCAGCTGCATATACCAAAGACCTTCTAAAGAGGATCCCTCTCAACAGAATTGAAGCTAAGGAGAGGATAAGTGCTATTGTATCTGGTTAGTCTTATACAGTCTTATAATTATTCCGTCAGCAAATATTGACCTAAGCACTACTTAGAGGAGCTAAAAGGCATTCAACATCGATTAGATCAAGCATATAGTCAAAACGAGCGGCACTTTAGTAAACAGAAAGCAAGAGTCTTAACGGATCAGCAGCGCCGTTATTTCCAAGTGTTCAAGATCGTTAACTACACAGAGCAAAAGAACATAAACCCAAATCGAGCCAAGGGCACCTATCGATAGCTTTCCAGAGCTCTGAATATATCCGTTAGTAGGAGAGCAATTACAACGACCTTCTCTGGGTATCGGCTGACCCAGGCTGTGGCAAGTCTGTCCTAGTCAGATCAATAATCGATGATTACTCAGAGACCTCTCATCCAGCTGTAAGAATATGTTACTTTTTCTTCAAAGACAATAATGAACAGAACAATCTTACTACGGCACTATATTCGGTACTTCATCAGCTATTCAGCTAGCAGCCTCATCTATTACAATATACCATTCCGGCCTAGGAAAAGAATGGGGGGACACTCCGACAAGAAGTTGATAAGCTTTAGCGGATCTTAATAGCGGCAACATCAGCTGATATATCGTGTAAGACGATTTGCATATTCGATACACAATGAATATTGTGAAACGGATCAGCGCCGATTAATTGAAAAGCTTAAAGCGTTTCATCGCCAGCCATCTTCATCAACAGAGGAAACCTATTTGAAATTCCTGGTCACCAGTCGTCCCTACGATCATATACAGGACCACTTTCGAGCAATCACCGATTCATTCCCACATATACATATCAAGGGGAAGGAGCAGAATGATCAAATTCATAATAAGATTGATCTAGTAGTAAGGATTCGAGTGAGAGAACTAGTTGAGACAGTGCCACTATCAACAGAGCTTCATCATCGAATCGAACAGCAGCTGCTTCAAATGGAACACTATATATATCTTTAGCTACACCTAGCCATTAATAATATCCGCAATACCTTCAAAAACAGCCTTCGGCCTACAGAGGATTGGATCACACTGATTCCGCCTTCTGTGAATACAGTATATGAGAAGATACTCTGTCGAGTCCCAGCCGATCTAATAGATAGAGTCAAGAAGATCCTAGAGATCATCGTAGCGGCACAGCGTCCTCTGACCATAAGAGAGATAGCTATGGCATTAGGAATTGCTACTAGCTCAGGATCACTAACAACCAAACAGGCTGGGCTAGATCCAATTAGTTTAGACAGCAAGCTTCGGCGATGGTACGGCCTATTTATCTTTACAAACAACACGAAAATCTATCTTATCTATCAAACAGCCAGAGAATTTCTCATAGCGAAGAAAAATTCCAGCAATCTCAATTCTGTATACTGGAACAGCCTGACTGATACGGAAGATCAGATGGCTGAGATTTATTTGAGATACTTATTGATAGAGGATTTAGAATATGATGAAGATGACTCGCGCCCCTATACTCGAAGTTTCTTAGAATATTCAGCAGCACATTGGCCTGATCACATACGAAAGAGGGTTTGACTTCAACCCAAAAAGAAACCTACCGAGTACATCGATTATACGACATAACCGACAAACCGTTCTTAATGTGGTTTCCCATTTTTTGGAAGACAGTCAGACCATACGAAAGAACTCCTGTAATGAGTACACTACATCTGGCAGCATTCAATGGCCATGAACAGGAGGTACATTCAATACTTGGTAGGGATAAAAGTGATGTCAATACACCTGATGATACAAGAACATACCCGATCATATGGGCTTCATTAAATGGACATGATAGGACTGTGGAACTTATACTAGATCGAGGAGCCGATATCAACGTCCAGGGTGGACACCACGGAAATGCTCTCCAGGCTGCTTGTGCTGAAGGAAACGACAAGATCGCACAGATGCTGCTAGAGCGAGGAGTCGATATTGACGCCCAGAGTGGACACTACGGATACAGAAATGCCCTGCAGACTGCTTGTGTTAATGGACACGATAAGATTGTACAGATGCTGCTAGAGCAAGGAGCCGATATTAATACCCAGGGTGGATATTACGGAAATGCCCTTCAAGCTGCTTGTACTAGAGGACACAACACGATTGTACAGATACTGCTAGAGCGAGGAGCCGATGTTAACGCTCAGGGTGGTGAATACGGAAATGCCCTCCAGGCTGCTTGTGTTAATGGACACGATAAGATCGCACAGATACTGCTAGAGCGGGGAGCCGATGTCAACGCCCAGGGTGGAGGATACTGAAATGCCCTCCAAGCGGCTCGTCGGGGAGGGCACCACAATATAGTGAAACTTCTCCAAGGACAGCATTGTCCTGATCAGTCGACCTCCCAACCTCCCCTTTCCAAAAGGCTCAAGGTTTCATCATGATCCCACTTACCATGTTCAACTCAAATTTTTCTAGTACCCCGATATCTAAATTGGTTTTCTCTCCCTAGGTAGTTGTGCTGTGGTTCTTCCTCTCAGTACTGAAATAGTTTGTCCATGATCCATAATCCTTGATCCAGCCATTTAAACAATAATGGTATAAGAAGTACTGAAACCAAATAAACCTGCTTGGTCTTCTCAGTCGATCAACCTTTGTCTCACTCAATTAAAGACCTTTCCTCTCATGAAGTAAGATGTCAAGAATGGGATATGGCCCCTCTAGGCCTTAAACAAGAACCTTGGTTTTTGTTATGGTCTAGTGGTAAATTACGCTGTACGAAATTCAACATAAAATACTGTTGGCACAGGGGTCTAACCTAATTAGGCAAGGTCACTCTTGGCACTCCATTTTCAAATACACGGACCATTTACTATGGTATCGCAGGCATGGTGGAATCCTCGGTGGTGGCAGTGGTAATGGAAAGCATGGTAGAATCCTCGGTGGTAGCAGGCATAATGGCAGCTTCAGGCATAATGGTGGAGAGAAAGAAGAAGCAAGTTGCAAAGTGGGAGGAAGCCTGTATATATAGCTGTCTATTTGCATGCAAACAGTGCAAACACCGCATATCTTGCTTAGCTATCTAGCAAACAATGTAAACAATGCATTGAATGCAAACAGTAAGCAAGTAAGCAAAGAAGCAAGTAAGCTAGATCAGGTGATCTCTGAATAGCTTCATGTTTGATAGATCAGGTGATCATATTAATAATTATGGGGAATTAACTAACTAGTTAACTATAAATTAAAAAGAATGAATTTAGAATATCTTATACTACTTTATATTAGATTATGTTCCAGAACTCTACTTTCTGCAGACCGACCTCGACTATGCAAGCAACGGTAGTCCACAGTCCCAAAAGAAAGTTGTCCCAATGAATACGCCCGCCACTTTCAAGCTTCTTCGAATCGAACCGAACAATCTGCATCACAATAGAAACGGTCCAAACCGCCATCCAAGAGAACCACAGCCAGGGAGAGTTGATTTTCAACACAACATACGGAATCACCGCGAGTGGTAGAGCACCCAGGAAGGCGAGGAATAACCGGATGCGTTGCCCCGCGACCACATAGGCAGAATTGATATTCATCTTCCGGTCGTCGACGCTGTCCTGGTGACTGTAGGCGGTGTTGAAATAGAGGCACCAGAAGAATATGAGAAGGCAGATCGGGGTGCAATGTGTGAAGATCTCAGACATGGACTGCTCTTGCCCGTTGATTGAGGCCCAACCTGTTATCGATGGGTAGGCGACGGCCAAGCCAAGGATATACTGGGGGTAGATGAAGACTCTGCTGAATACGGGTCGTTTCAAGTAGGGATACAGCATGATACTGGCTGTCAAAGGCAGCATTAGGCCCCATCTAAGAGGGATGGACGGGGTTAATCAAGTTGGGCTCTTCCATGCGACCGGAGTTTTATAACACTGAATGTAGGACTTACATGCTTCTGTTATCCAATATCAAGTGTAGCATTTTCACCGACAGAAAATACTGACCGACCATCCATACTAGGGCCTCGACGGTTGAGACTTTTCCAGATGCCAACGGCCGCATTTTTGTCCTTTCCACCCTGGCGTCAATATCACGGTCTATCAGGTCGTTCCATGTGTTCCCAGCACCGCATAGTAACAAGCAGTGAACAAAGCACAGGCCGGCTTTGAAGAAGATGTACTCGACGGAGAGACTGGCGGGATCGTCTTGCAACTTCAAAGCGCCAGCAATTAAGGTAGACCATACTGTTTTGTAACGGAAATTCGAAGTTAATACTTTATTCATGAGAGAGCTTGGAATGGAGTCCTCCTTACCAGCGGCCATCATCGTGTAGTAGGGCATATATCGATTGAACCGCGAGGTGCTGATCAGAAGACAGGCAAGGTCCCATGAACCAGGCTTCTCCATTGAACTAACCATGTTGGTGAATGCAATGCAATAAAGTGTTAGAAAATGGCAAATATCATTCAAAGACGGAAACTCGAAAAACTTTGCAGATGAGCTAGAAAATTGGGCTGTCCTTGAGAACTATCAAAAGCTATACCCGGTATCGCAGCAGAGAACACTTCTAGGGGAGACATCCTGTACTATAAGAGACCCGGTTTTTCCACATTGCCGCATCATCCTGCAGTTTTCTGCCCCCACGTTGCCGTATCCACGTTATGATGACTATCAGACAAATGAATTTCTAATGACCATGCATGAGAATAACATAGACGGTGGAACGGGTGCATGAGTGACGAGGAATGCTCCGTCTTACCGCAGCGAGAGCCACCGTGGAGCCTATCGTGACCGAGCTGCTTCCTATACCATAATGCATCTACACCAATGCATCTACACCAAAGTACGAGGTAATATGCGGGCAGTATTTACCGTACATGTATGTACTTTTGGAAAAGCACTGTATAGTATATCTGAATAAATAATAATAGGGGGCCAGCCAGGCCCATGCAAGAGACTCGATGGGTATCAATCAATCAAAGTTCAATTAACCTGTTGCAGTCTAACTAGTTGCGTATGACTATCCAGGCGACTCGATGGGTATAAGATTAGCCCCACGATACAACCCCGCGGGACTCCATCCTTTGCAGAATGCTTACTAGATCCATACATGTGCATACATGTGGAAGGGTAATAATACAAAGATGTAAAACAGTTACGGAAAATCTCGAATAAGATAAATATAATATCATCTTTGTTTTAGACGTCCACGGTACATGTGATACCCCGGGTCTACGGTTAAAATAGAATAGTTGCCTCGTGTCTTTTTTTCAGTGTATCTTGCGTATAATTGGGTGCAAGGAGAGACGGATAGTATACAATCACCTAACGATCAAGAATAATTCGGGCTTTGCTTCAAAGTACTTGTATCACGACCAGCTAGTTACATGTGAATGGTTCCACATAAATAGCCCCTTTCTATGGGCCTTGGGGCCAGTAATCATTCAAATATCATAGCTTTCTATACGGGATTGAGATACCCTTCAAAACTACAATATCCACGTTATGGAGAAAGGCACATCTTTCTTTACGACACCACCGTTCTCTGCGACCACCAGAGCTATTTTCGATACCATGCCGCAATGGTTTTCATTTGCCGTGGGCTTGTTGATTGCGTACCCCCTTCTCATCAATTCGCTGCGCCATAGACGACTTAAAAAGCTACAAAAAAAGTTCTACTTCCCGACACGCGAGTCTATGGCTAAGATGACAGACGAAGAAGCATTCCAGATTCAAAAAGAAACGGCGCAGCTAGAATTCCCATTCATGTTTGTGAAAGCAGGGCAGTTTGCTTTATTTCGGGTACGCAAATATATACACCAATCTTATTTTTCTTATTCTAACCTCCTCTAGACTTACGGCATTCCAACAATCTCCCACCTTCTCACAAAGACAGGGCAATTTTCTAAACCAGAAACCTCCTTCAAGCGCTATACAGACACAGCCGCCCTTATCGGCGAAATGGTAGAAAATAGCCCTACCTCGCAACGGGCTTTTCTCTCTGTAGCCCGCACGCGTTTCCTACACAGCGGCTACCAAGCTTCAGGCAAGATCCTTGATACAGATTTGCTCTACACACTTGCGCTCTTTGCGGTCCAGCCTGTAAATTTCATCGCGGCATTCGAGTGGCGGCCGCTAAGTGATTTGGAACGCTGTGCTATTGGAACGTTTTGGAAGAGTCTAGGTGACGCGCTAGGTATTAGTTCTGACATCCTCCCGTCAGGTAAGACGGGGTTTAGGGATGGAATTCATTGGCTCGAGGAGGTGGATACTTGGAGTCAGGAGTATGAGGCCAAGTATATGGTTCCAGATGCTCAGAATCGGGAATCAGCGGATCAGGCAACAGCTGTGTTGCTTTATAATTTGCCCAAGGTATTCCATCCGGTGGGATTGCAGTTCACTTCGTTCATGATGGATGACCGGCTGAGGAAGGCTATGTTGTATGTCAAGATCCGATTTTATATAACGAAATATCGAGCGCTAACATCAACTAGATACGAACCACCAACGCCCTTCTGGACAAAAGTCTTCTCTGCCATCCTAATAACCCGCAAATTCATTCTCCGCCACCTAACACCCCCACGACCTTTGATCTTCGCGGTGTCAAATACAGCTAAGCAACCCGATACAAACAACCGCTATCACCGCAAATCTTGGGACGCACTTCCCTACTACGTGAAACCAACATTTTGGAATAGATGGGGTCCAATGGCGTGGGTTTCCTGGGCGCTCGGTCATCCTGTCCCGGGCGACCAGGGTGAGAAGTACTATCCGAAGGGGTATCATATTCAAGATATCGGGCCGAAGTATTTTGAAGGAAAGGGGCAGAAGGCAATTGAGGAGATGATGAAGGAACTGAAGATTTCTAGGACGGGAAAGTGTCCTTTTCATTAGTTTAAAGCAACTTTTATGATTTAGTGAAGTATTTCAGACCGCATGGGATACTTGGAAGAAAAGCAGATCTGTACAGCCTACTAAACTCTTAGATTGTAAACTGAAAGACAGAGTAACTTCGTTTTCTTCCTCCTTGTTGCGGCCATGGCCGCTTACTGGCACACCGTCGTGTTCCAACTTGTCAAATGCTCCAGCGTTAGTGAACCCGAACATATCCATTTTCTCGCCCGTTCTGGATGTTGTAGATATAGAAAGACCTCAATATAATCCTCAAATTGTAATATTCAATGCGGAAGCAAACTTTGAATCTAAATCTAATCCTCGTCGCTGTAACCCTTAGAGTGAACGTGTCTTTTCAAAAATTCATACCCATCAGCCACTGCTTCCTTCACATTCTGGCCAGCATGAGAGCTCGGATAAAGATCAAATAAATGCACCGCTCCCTGCACCACCCTGATATCTGCCTCAATGCCGTTTTCGGCCAACGCGTTATATGTTGACTCGGTCTGCGCGCACGGGACAAGGTCATCGCTTGTTCCATGAACCATAAACGTAGGTGTTCGGTACCGCCCGATGCGGATCTGATAGTTTGGACTAACTGCCTGAATCTCTTCGTCTGTCGGACGAGGTAGTTTATTGGGTATGCGAACCTCTTTGTGCATGCCTCCCAACAGCACAGGAAGGGTTTGTCCCGTCCAATTCATGTGCAATGCAATTCGACTGCGCGGGTCGCTGGTTGACATCCAGCCCCCTAGTGGCCGTTCCTTGAACGCTGGATTATAGCCTTTGATCGGGGCGCTCTGCACGCCTTCCCAGACATCGTACTCCATATCATTTGACGCGACAGTCTGTCCAAAGGGGAAGTTTGGCCTCGACCAAAATGGATCTTCATAATCGGTTGGACAGTAGAAAGCCAATATGGCCTCTGGAGCGGCGATACCCACAGCGGGAGCGGTAAAAGCCAGCGTCATTGCGAGATGACCACCAGTGGACCACCCGATAGCCACAACCTGGTTCCCGTCCGGTCGGATATCTGGACGCAGCAAGGGGATATTTGGGAGGATGCGGCGCACCCAACCTAGGGCGTCGCGCACGTCGGCCATAGGGCCTTCTGAAAGGCTAACCTCAGGGCACAGGCGGTAGTCAACACTGATGGGCAGGAATCCGGCGTCGAGAAGGGTCTGTGTCTGGGCAGGACGGATGTCTTTACGAGATAGCATGACGTGGCCACCTCCATGAACCATCAGAGCTGAAGAGGAGGGTTAGCAAATGAAAGTATGAAATGGAGTTATTACAAGGGACAAAAGATGAATCTGAACTTACCAATTGGTCGTCGTTTCTGCGTGGTGTCAACCACGTCGGGATAAAATATATCAGCCAGCAGCTGCAGACCATCCCTTTCGCCCCAAACAACAGTTTCCATGTTTGCCGGCTTGGAGCAAATCTCCAGAGCAGAAGGGGCCTTCGTCGGCGATGCGACAATAACACGCAGAGCATTTGACTCTACAGCCTCATTATTCGTCCAGCCCACCCACTCGAAGCCAGATTGGCGAAGCGTCTGATCCCAAAGATCTTCAGTGGCCAGCGCGTGCTTCCGACCGTCCTCAAACCGCCACCAGCCCTCCAGGAGTCCGAACACAAGATCCAACCAGAATATGTCACGCGTCAGCTCAACGAGACACAAGATCCCATCAGGCCGGAGGAGCTTGCGGATATTTGAGCAGGACTCGACGAGATTTCGGGTAGCATGGACGCAGTTGGTCGACAGCACAATGTCGTACTGGGCGTGCAAGAGCGAGGGAGGGCTACTCTCCACGTTAATAGTTTCGTACCGTACGAAATCATACTTGGAAAACTTCTTCCGCGCGGCTGCAACAAGCGATGGCGAGATATCCGTGAAGGTATACTCCATGCGTGTCGCCATTCCGGGGAGGGCCGAGAGCTGCTCGAGGAGATTCTTGGTAGTGCCTCCTGTGCCGGCCCCGATCTCGAGGATTTTAACATGCCGACCGTTGCCGAGAGCTTGGATGACATCCGTGAGATACTGTGCGAGGTAGAGGTTACCCGACTTGAACACCGGGGAGTCCGTATAGACATCTCCTACCAGGCGCCGAGTCTGGGAATCCTGGAAGATTAGCGATACCCCGTCCGCTTGCCCGGTCAGGCACTCAGCCAACCGCGAGCCTGTGATCTGGAGAAGATCGTGCTCCAGTGCATATGGAGGGTGTTCATCCCGGATCTGAGCATGCAAGGCGTGCGATGGGAGCGGCGAGATGGGTGTCGCTGTGCGCACGAGTTGACCAGTTGGAGTTTGACGCACGAGGTTGACGGATTCCAAAATTGTATACAGGTGTTTCTTCAACTGCTCGTGGCGTGGTAGGATGGAAATAATAGGAAGGACCTCATCTGGCTGACTGGACTCTAGCGGGGAGCCCAAGGCGCGGAATGCTTCCAGGATGTACGCCGTGATGAGTGTCATTTGCTGCGGATAGATGGCATTGAAGAAGCCGGCCCAGTCGGCATTGTGTGTGTGGGATACCGCGGTGTGAGTCTCATAGAAGCATTGGTGTGCTACTGAGACTAGCGATGGTCCGGCGTCAGCTGGCACGGGCAGAGAAGTTACAGTTTGCGGTATCACTGTCTGCTGCCGTACTGGTTTGATCACAATCCGGGAAGGAGCTAGGTGAGAATGTCCCGGGAAGATATGCTCTGTCAAACCCTGGATGTTGGGAATATCCACCAAGGTGGAATAGGAAATATCCTTATGGAATCTCCTCTTGATTTCGGAGAGCACTTCTGTGCTTATGAGCGAGTCCACTCCGATATCTATCAGCGAGACTGATGGAGATACCTCTTCGACACCAACTCCAAACAGCTCGCAAAGCATTTCTTGGACAGCAGCAAGGTCGCTATCCACATTTACATTGTCACTGGCTTCATCATAATCGGCTGTCACAATTGCTGGCTGGGTCGTGGGCGGGAGTTGTGGGACGTCAGGGAAATTGTTGTTCAGCTTGGCTAGTGCGCGAGTGAGAGAGCGGATGGAGACACTCATGAACCGAACGCCCATAATTGCGGCAGTAAGTCCGTCTCCTTGAGAGTTCATCACGTAGATATCGCACACGATCTCGTTCTTGAACGGCCGGACGTAGTTGGTATATACCTTCCATGATAACGGAATAGCTCCGTCTTCCTTTTTGACCAACGAATCGCTAACATACGTTTCCCCGATAGCATTGCACACGAATACTTCCTCTGCTTCGCGACCAGAGAGGCAGTTGACGTGAATTCCTGCAACTTGCAGAAAGTTGTCCAGGAGGATGGGGTTGCACGTGGTCTCCGTGGCTGACGGTGCCATACTGACCAGCCCCGCAGCCTCACGGCCATTTGCAAACACCTGCCTCACTCCGCGGAAGTAGTCTGCATAATTGGTGACCTGTTCGAGGGCAGAGTAAACCGTCGATCCTTTCAGTCCGTTTGATGCCAGATGATCCTCAATTCCTCTTGCCCGTGCCGGGTCCATCAACCGATTCATGGACTGAAAGTGGGACAGAGCCCTGGACCTCTCATTGCATAAGCAGACACTGCCTGTAGCATGAATCGACGACTCGCTACCCGTCTCGCTACTGCTAAAGACCGAGAATGACCACGTCTGGGAAGAAGCCACTCCCTCTGGGATCAGTCGTACGAACACGCTTCCTTGCGGATCTAATACTAAGGGGGATGATATCACCAGGTCCTCGATATGAGACATAGTCAGCGTCGAGGATTCACCCAAGGTGAATACGGAAGTTGCTGCCCGCAGGACCATCTCCATATACATGGATGCGGGACACAACGTCTGATCCAATACCGCGTGCCCCTTCGTGCATGACCTATACAATGCATCTTGGGTATTAACGGCAAACAGATACTCCTCTGAGCCGTTGCTCAACTTGCGCAACAGGCCAGCCCGCTCCTGACTGCCACGTTGCGGTTCCGTGGAGGAGCCGGAAAAGGAGAAAGCAGTAGGGTCAAAGTCAACCCAGTGTCTGTTCTTCGCGAACTGATACGGCGGAAGGTTCATCCAGCCGAAGGTCCCACGCTGCGAGTGATGGAAGGGCCAGAACTGGACATGGACGCCCTGACCCCAGAGGGCGCTGGTGACAGTTGCCAAATTCCCGCTTCCGTCCGACCCATCGAGGTTAACCTTGTGGTATGCATGAGTTGCGGACGATTTCTCCAGCACTCGACGCACCATGGGGATGATAGGCGAGGCTGAGCCGGCTTCGAGCCAGACAGCGGGAACTTGTAGTTTTTGGGCTATTCTTTCGACAGCGCGTTGGAAGTGCACAGGCATGCGGCTGTGCTCGACGATCTTTGCCGGGGTGACGATCGACCAGTCGCCAGTCGCCGAACAGGCTTCGATGGGGATAGCTGGTGCTTGGTAGACAAAGGACTCTGCGAGCTCTGTGAGGCCGGGCACAATGCTATCAACAAGTCTAGAGTGGAAGGCATGCGAGTTGTCCAAACGTCTGACCCTGACGTTGCTTGTCAATGGGTTTGCAGCGAGAGCGTCTTCAACCGCTCGGATGGATTCCCCCGTGCCGGCAAGCACTTGCTGCCGTGGTCCATTATAGCAGGCAATTTCAGCACGGTGGCCTGTCTGCTCTAGCACCCGCTGGACCTCGGTCTGCGTACCCTCCACAGCGAGCATCACCCCAGACTCTGGGCCCCAGTTTGACTGGATCAGGCGTGCACGCTCGGTAACCAGGCGGATGCCGTCATGAACACTCAAACTGCCAGCCACGGATAGCGCAGTGAGCTGACCAAAGCTATGGCCCACGATACGGTCTACACGCAGTCCTGAGTCGATCCAGGCTCTGGCGGATGCGTACTGTATAGAGAAGAGCATGAAGTGCAGGTGAACGGTATTCACGATGGGGTCTGATGTGAATATAGTTGGGAAAAGACTGGGAAGGCCCAGCTTCTGGCCTGCTTGCTCGCACGCCATGAGGTGC